GAGAACATACCGCACGTCACTTCGGCTAAGACCGTTCAACGCTCCTTTGAAATTCGCGAGGACACGTACGGGGAAGACATTGCTCGGCAGCATACTTGCCGTTTCTGAAATATATGCGTTTTTGACTGCAAGGCGCGTCACGTTTTCGGGCGTCACAAACACAGAATTGGCGCCAATCGCGGGGTCATGATCGTCGTATTCAAGCGGTGCAGGCGACTCAAGATGGTTGCGCTGATGGTTCTGGCTACGATCGAGGACACGGCTGTTGATGAGATCGATGAAACTTGGGGTCCACTGTCCGAGACGCGCGAGGCGGCATCCTTCCCCCCATTCGTGGTCGCTTCGAAAACGCACAGATTCCTCGAGGACTACGACTGTGGTAAACTTTCGCCACAACTCGAATCCTTCGATATCGGCGGTGCTCACTTTTCGCGTTTTGTTTACCGGATCGAGGAAGATCGGATCAGTCTGGACGGGCGGCATCTGCAGGAAGTCTCCGACAAGTACGACGTGGATGCCGCCAAATGGAACGCGGGGTACCTGCTTGTACCGACGCAACAACTTGTCCAGTCGCAGCCACTCGGTCTTGGTTAACATTGAGACTTCGTCAATAACAAGGAGATCCAGTGGTGCGAATTGCTTGTTGCTGATAGCGCGCTTCAAATGCATGAGGAAGCTTGCGAGCGTGCGCCCACCAATCAGTGTTGCTGCCTTGCCTGTCAGTGCCGTCTTCACGACGGCATCGTCGCGATGCCAGCTTGTACAAAATGCATCGACGGCTTCGATCACACGACTTTTGCCTGTACCACCGGCTCCGCCAAGGAAGAGCAGCAGCTGGTCGTCTGTAAAGCGTACCTCGAAATTGTCCGTGCAGTAGCCGCTATTATGACCCTGCACACCACCGAGCTCTTGGCGCAAGAAGCGCGGGAGCAGCGAAGTTGCGATGAGCGTGAACGCGACATGCTGGCGTTCGTTGAGCGTGAACGTTTGAGAGACTTCTACGATTGACGCGTATGGTTTTAGCGGCGGTGGCGGTGGAGCGTCGTGCGGAGATGGTGGCGGCGGAGGCGACCATTCGCGGGCGTTTTCGAGCGCGCTTTGAAGCAGTGCAATTACTTCAGTGGGTTGTTCGTTGCGAAACGGCTCTGAGCGAGGCCGTTCAGTTTCGTCGTTCGAGGTATCATTGACGAATTGCTGTAGCTCATTGATCGAAAATTCAACTGTTGAAGAGGCTTGGCGACGTGATCCGTCGACCGTGTTTGCCGTGATCTGTGCGGGTATGCGCAATAAATGTTGGAATTGGCTGTTCGACACGGGCGATGCAGCGTTCGGGAATATCGGTAAATTCGATGGGAACACGGACGCTTGATCCTCGTTCAGGTCGCCGACGCCGTCACC